TCAGACCTCAAAGTATATTTATAATATATTGCTTTGTAAGATTATCCAACTTCATATTTCTTTTAATTCATTCAGTTCTAGTAGCAATAGTAACTACCTATATATTATTATCAACTAGAACTATAATATTCACTCTTAATTCCACAGTATTTGGTTTTAGCATTATCAATTTTTCTACAATCTTGTATTGATATAGGATTATTGACTATTGACATTTTATAAGTGTATTATAGAGTCCAATAGTTATCAGTATGCATAATTGTTTTATCTTGATTTTGATTGCTATTGTTTAATTATTCAAGATGTTACTATTGTGGTCAAGGATATATTACAATATTTTGTATGCTGTTAGTATAAAAATTATATGGATAGGAAGAGACATTATATAATAAGAGATAAGAGTATAGGATCAGATACCAGGTCTGATACAATGCAATGACAGATGCATTAGATTATATATTGATAAAGAGCTTGAGTTTGTAAAAGCTTCTTATAAATTTTGCAGAACACAATGATCAATTTGGAATGTATCACAGATTATATAAATAGCTATAGAAAATGACAGAAAAGTTAATTAATTAATTGCTTAATAAAGAAGTCTCTGGTTAATTGAAATACTAAAACTTGTAAATTTATGTAACAGTTTAATTATAAAAATATCTTTCTTGCCTATAAGTCATCAATTGTATAGTAAATTGACAAGGTTCAAAATTAAGTTAGGGTAATAATAATTAAGGATGCCATAAGACAAGGCTATAGTATTCAAGAGTCAAGGAAGAGCCTGACAAGTTCTATTTTATTATAAGGCGAAATCCAGCCCTGGATTAGTAACAAACCCATAGTACTTAGATTTCAAAACAGTACTTCCAATTATATTGATAAGAAGTTCTTTTACTGAACCTTCTGTTCAATTCTTCTTACAAATTATCATTATTGCATGATATGATAATTTTGTAAAGGCCTCAGTGTATGCCTTTATCAGTTTTCTTCTCAATCTACAGCTGAGTATATTTATCAATTATTGCTATAGTATTATAATACTACATATTCTAAACATCTTATTATCCAGTGCATGTATATCCCAAGTAATCATTAGTATTATTTTTCTTTTTTAACTTATTTTCTTATATTCTGACTATTTTTATGTAGCTTTTACTCTATCACAGCATTATCATTGATACTAGCTACCTATTGTATTATCTCAGAGCTTCCTATATATATATGTTATTGAAATTTATAGATTCTTGATACAATTTATATAATTATTTAATACAATTAATATATAAATGTATGTAAAAAACTGACTATATTAATAAACTAAAGTAAAGTCTTATTTTAGCAATTTGATACAATTAATTGAGTCATTATTAAAACATATAAATAATTAAATTATAACACAATTATTTTTAAAATTTTGAAAATTGAGTCAATTGTAAATAATTTATAGTACATATATATCATTATCTCTTGAATTGGTTTTGCAATTTCTTCTTCATCTCTTGCTATGTTATGCAACTGCTCAGAATATTCTTATTATATTGTACTATATATGTGATATAAATTATTTGTTGTTGACTCAATTTCCAAAATTCTTAAAAATAATTGTGTCATGACTTAATTATTTATATGTTTTAATAGTGACTCAATTAATTGCATTAAATAATTGTATCAATTGTGTTAAAGTCTACAAATTTTAGCAACATATATATATTGCACTATGTTGCTTTCAAATTTCTAGATAGTATTTACAATCATGTTTTTATATTTGATTAGAAATTTTTTATATGATGTTTTATCCAAATTATCTTATAAATTATTATAATTATGTGAAGTGCTAGCTTTACAAAGGCATTAGAATAGGTTTTTATGAACTTTTTTCTGAATCTTCAAGCAAATATTTCTATCAGTTGCTATTATGATTCAGGGATATTATGGAATCTAAAAGTTTTATTATCTAGCATCTATGCTTTTTAAGTGATTATTAGTATTATTTACTTCTTAATTATTTCTTTCTTATTTTCATTATATAATATCAATAGTTTTTCCTTTTGTATAGCATCTGATTTTTCTGCAATTATTTTTATTAGCTTATTTGTCTTTCTAATCCATTCTTTTTTTTCTTATCATTTTTTTTTAGTTCTTATATATTATTGATATTTTCTTTATTATTATGACATCTTGCTCTTTTATAATTATTTCTTTTTTTAATTCATATTGGTTTTTTGGTTCACTTTTATATTTCTTCTCAGTTTTATTGACATTATTATTTTTTTTATTACTATCCATATTTCTTCTAATTAGAATAAACACCCAACTAATTTTGAGATCTCTGGTCATGCTTCATTATTAAAGTTGACATTATTACTTATTTTTTTTGTCACCTTATTTTTGAAGAATAGAAGGTATACTTTTTTGTTTTCACTATTTCTTTCTTTATTATATTGAATTGTTAAATACAGAATGTTTTTATTACTTATTTTATCAGATTTCTTGTGATTGACCTTGTCAATCTGTATTTTTTAGTTTTATTATTTAAGATTGATACTTTTTTTTTTTTACTTTTGATTTTATAATCTTTACACACATTTCTCTAATTCTTTTATCTTTTTTCTTTATTTTCTTAATTATTTTTGATTTCTACTGTTATATTAAGAACTTCTTCTAAGTTGATTACATTTGTTACAACCAGTAAAGACAATATGTTTTTTCTTAACTTGGTCATAAGCAGCCATTTTGCTGGTTTTCTATAATAGTTTCTATTAAGGTTGATTTTTTTAAGTAGTCTTTTGAATCTATAGATATACTTAATTACTTTTTCATTCTTTTTCTGTTATATATTTTCTAGTTTTTTTTGTTATTGGTATCAATACTGCTTAAATATTACAAAGTGTTGCATGAATGCTGACTCAAAACCTATCTTATAATTATATTTATTGTCTCATCAAACAAAATAGTCCCTATTCTTATTATACTAATCTAATGCTGCTTCTTCTAGATACTTATTTACTTTTGTTAATTTATTATTGTTTGTTCAATTATTGTAGTTGGCAACTTAGTTGTAGAGTTTTATTTACAGCCACAAATTCTTTTCTGCCTTGCCTTTAAATATATATAGTTTTCCATGCTTCACTTTATTCTTTTTGACTTGGTTTTCTATTTCCAGTTTACATATATAACTACTTATATTTTTAGGGTATCTTGTCATGAGAAAATGAAGAATCAGTTTTATTATCTATTTTATCATATTCTATGTCATACATTTTTAATTATCAATTGATTATTATGATTTGTTATAGGTTTTGTATAGGTATTGTTGGCAGGAAACTGATGTAGGGCATGACTGCACAAACATATTCTGACATGTCACATATTTTAATTTGCAATAATCAATGACTTATACTCTATAGTGACATGTAAAGTCATGATGTAATTTTAGAAAGCTTAAATTAGTCATAACCTTAAATAACTTATTAACTGCAAATAGTCTATCAGAGCTTAAGGGGGATCATATGGTATACTTATAGCTAAACAAAATGTACCTAAGATAGGATAAAAAGAGGAGGGACTAAAAAAAAGAAGAGTGATATGAAGTACGAAGTATGAATAATATGCAAAACCCATTCCTTAAATTAAAACCTTCTTAATTAGAACATGTGATAATCTATACATGTTGCTGAAATTCGTAGATCCTTGACACAATTGACACAATTATTTGACGCAATTAATTGAGTTACTATTAAAACATATAAATAATTGAGTCATAGTGCAATTATTTTTGAAGATTTTGGGAATTGAGTCAACAGAAAATAATTTATGCCACATGTATATGATAATCATTGCCAAAAGGAGTAAATTCTAATTAACTTACCTAATTCAGTACTTGTTGTGAAATAGAATGATTGAGACCACAAAAGGAAAAGTAATAAGATTCATTAAAAGAAGTGAACAATGGAAAGAAAAGAAAAGTGTTAGTAGAACTTGGTTAAACAACTCACATGCCTCAAGTAGAAAAGCCAAACACTTATCTGAAATTATGCAAGAAGCACTCTGGAGAAGTGATAGACTTGCTGAGAAAGACGTTAACAATATAAAAGAGGTAAGATCTTGTTTTAACAAATAATATGTTTTTCAATTAAAGTTTTAATTTATACAAGTTGTTTTCTAAAATTGGTGTAACTCTTGTTTGCACAATTTTATTGAAGGGATAATAAATGTTGTTTTTAATTAGATCTTCTCTAATCTGCTATCAAATATTATTAATACACAATAAGTTTGTTGCTAATTCAGACTAGGTTATCACATAATAATAGATAAGTAGGGGTTTGTGTCGCTTGCACATCAAAGACACTTGTTAATAAACTTTTTTCTTCCCAGATACCAGTCTAATTCTATATTACAAGCCATTGTGATTTCTCAAGATTCTCTAAGTGGCAAACAATTAATTAGGTAAGTTTATTAATTATATTGATGCAACTGCAAGTACCACAAGTTTATACAATATTGGAACTAACTTCCTATTCTAACTAGCTAAATCCACCTATATTTATACCCGCTGTGACGTGTATGCTGATCTACCGTCGCGTCTGCAAATTTCCACTTAAACTATTTGGACTTATTGATGGAGGGTCCGATGGATCGCGCCATGTCACGTGATCAATTGCGATCCCAGCAACCCATGCATTTTTCCCTGCTAACGATATACTCTATTTTTTAATATGGATTATTGGGGAATTTCGAGTTGACCCAACACATTCGTAATGCTTAGCAGGCGTAGTGATAATGATGGTATTTCACGATTGATACTTTTAACGCTTACTCATACCATTGCACCCTAATAATGAACAGATTTTTCGGGATAGTTTTCTGAGTTGAACTTCGTCTTGCTTATGAAGTTCTTCTAGACGTCTATGTAAGATTTATAATATGGTCACTGAATTTCCTGCCAGTAATCCAAACAAAAACCCTATAAGTTTGAATAAGATTATCGCATGCACTGAATAATGGAGAATATTAATGAAAATTATTATACAGAAGTAATTGATGCTTTACCGTATAGACTATTAGCATACATGTACAAACAGTGCGCTTAAATCTGGTGTGAAGCGTGGGAATGTATCTCAGTTTTTAACAACTTGAACCGACAGTAACGATGCTAGCCCCATAACGTCATCTTTAACCAAGTGAACACTTTTGATTCAAATGCAAGAGACGCAATAAAAAAATGTTGTACATCCTGTACTGTATAAGTCTGGTAACGTTACAATGTTACTGTATTTGGCATCAGATAATACTATATACGTAATATATTCTACTGTACTGCCAAATAAGTCATCGATCAGTATGCAATAAATAAATATATACTGTATACTGTATTCTGTTTGGCATATGTGTACTTGGTCCCGTTCTTTTCTAAATAACCATGGAGTCAATCAAGAATTATATTGAGGATGGTCTGTTAAATGAGTTTGATTACAGCGAATTTCAAGATATAGAACTTATCTGCGATGGAATGAGTATGATCAAACATGCATATCAGGAAAGGATCAACGAACATGTTATAATTAAAATTTCTAAGAAAAATGATGATGAATATTATAAAAAACTTAAAAGAGAGGTACCTATAAATTTATTAGATTTTTAATTTCAGGTTATTATTATTTATTTAAATTGTGAATAATAGATAATAAATTTGAAAAAAATTGATAATAATAAAAATACCGTTAGTCTTCTGGGTGTTACCAAAGGTATTATATATATAAAGTATATTAATTTTTCTGTACGAACATTAATTAATATGATCATTACCTATTATACTAGACCCTCAAAGGAATAATTATTCTATAGTAATTCAATATTGCGATGGTAAAAATCTTAGAGAACATTTGAAAAATGAAAAGGTCTTGAAAAAAGGCTGGCCTCTTAAGATAAAAATGGCCATGGATATTACTAACGGCTTGAGGTACATTCATAATGCAAATATTCTACATTGTGAACTGGTTAGTACATACAATTAGCCAACCGTTACAGTAGAGCTACATTTATTGACTTATGTTTTTTAACTAAAGACCTCCAAGAACATATTAGAGCAGGATGGTAGATTGGTTATTATAGGTTTTGGTTCGTCTATAACTCTAAAGGACTCGGCACTCAAAATTGTTGATACAAATGTAGATCCCGAAGATATTACTTATGTGGATCCAAAAATTTTAGATCGTACGATTGATTATAAATATAATAAACTATCGGATATTTACAGTTTAGGGTGGATACTATGGGAAATATCAAGTAGTAAAACCCCTTTTATTAATAAGCCCGAATTAAGAGGAGAAAAACTAAAGGAGGCAGTTATTTTAGGAGAGAGAGAAACCCCTGTGAATTTAACACCGATAGATTACATTGAGCTTTATCAAAACGCATGGGATGATAATAATAAAAAGCGTCCATCAATCGAAGAGGTCATTCGCTGTCTCGAAAGCGTTGATATTGATCATGTGTTTCAAGACTGCGATTATACTCCTGAGATCTTTTCTCGAAGGAATAATAAATTTACATCAAAATACGAAGCTTGTTTAACGGTCATCAAAGGTTCACCTCAAAATCAATACTTTTTTCTTCCTCTAGGCGAAACATTTATAGGAAGAAACAATTCAAATGATATTGTTATAAGAGATCAAGAAATATCTAAGCAAAATGCAAGTATTAAAAATTTTCAAGGAAAGGTTGAAATCACCGATTTGGGATCTAAATCAGGAATATTTTTAAATGAAGAAAAAATTACATTCCGTATAAGTCGTACTTTAGAAAAGGGGGACATAATCAAAATGGGGCGTTGCAGCTTTCAATATCTTCCTGCTGGAGAATATGAAAATCGCATCGATAAACTTTTACCGATTTACAACAAGGATTTTTTACTAAAAAGCTTGGAAGTTGGATTTAAAAAAGCAAAAGAAAAAAAGCAAAATTTGAGTATAATATTTCTTGATATAGATCATTTTAAAAGGATTAATGATGATAATAGCCACGAGACCGGAGACTACGTTTTAATAGAATTGGCTAAACTTGTTCAGACTCTTATTCGTCCCGAAGATATTTTTGCACGATATGGTGGAGAGGAGCTTACTATTCTCCTTAATAACACTAGCATTGATTCGGCACTCGATCGTGCTGAGAAAATTCGAGCTTCAGTTGAATCTCATTCATTTAGCTGTGAAGGGAAGAAATTATCAATTACAATTAGTATTGGAGTTTCTGGAGTAAACTTATTTGTGGAAACTTTTAATGACTTGCTTAATCACGCTGACGAAGCTATGTATAGGGCAAAAAAATATGGTCGTAATCGAGTAATAATGTGGGGGACTGAATACGATTATGCAAATAGTAAGTTAATTATTTACCATTATTCGATTTTTTTTTGTAAACATTATAATATAATCCTAATTGCTTTTATTTTATTTATAATAAAAACATAGAAATAGTAAGTGTATTTTATATTCAAAATAATTAATTTACAGCATATAACCATCACATATTTACGGTTATGGTACAATTTGCAAAACAATTGATTTAGGATCCCCTAAAGTTTTCTTTATATATTGAATCTGCTGAAAGTGGAAATGCTTGGGATCAGGATATCCTCGGATATTGTTACTATGAAGGAATTGGAACCGCTCAAAACTACGAGAAAGCATTTTATTGGTATCAGAAATCAGCCGAAGGTGGAAATATAAATGGACAGAATGATTTTGGGTACTGTTATCGATATGGAGTTGGAACTACTCAAAACCACGAAAAAGCATTTTATTGGTATCAGAAATCAGCCGAAGGTGGATATATAATTGGGCAGGTTGATCTTGGACTTTGTTATGAATATGGAACTGGAACCACACAAAACCACGAGAAAGCATTTTATTGGTATCAGAAATCAGCCGAAGGTGGTGATACTACAGGACAGTGTAGTCTTGGACGTTGTTATCAAAATGGAATTGGAACCACACAAAACCACGAGAAAACATTTTATTGGTATCAGAAATCAGCCGAAGGTGGACATACTACTGGACAGTGTAGTCTTGGGGATTGTTATCTAAATGAAATTGGAACCACTCAAAACCTCGAGAAAGCATTTTATTGGTACCAGAAATCAGCCGAAGGTGGTAATACCACAGGACAATATAATCTTGGGTATTGTTATGAGTATGGAATCGGAACCGCTCAAAACAATAAAAAAGCATTTTATTGGTATCAGAAAGCAGCCGAAGGTGGGAATACCGAAGCACAGAACAGTCTGAAGAAATTCTAGATTGAAAAGTGCATATAAAGTATTCCAAACGGTACTATAAACGGCTATCGTATCGATAATTCGGGAAATTGCTGTAATTTCGTAATTTAGGAAATTCCCAGAATAGTGAGAATAGCATAGATTAATTAGACTGTTATTATGTATATAATAACATGCATTCTTATATAACGTTTATCTAGTTTATTTTTTATATTTAGTCTATTTCGATTACTGTATTTTGTGTATTTGTCTATTTGTCTATTTCGTCTATTTAATTTATTTATTTCAAGAATTGTTTTAAACAGTATATTAAAAATACGTATAGAAATAATGAGAATCTTGAGTCGAATAAAGTTGAAGTTAGTTATTTAAAGAAATAAGTCCAAAAGTTGGTAAGAGCCGTGAATTATAAATTTTGAGCATGTGATAGATTGCTATGACGTGTTTATTGAGTTTTTATTAGATATTGTAGAATTTTGGATTAAACTAGAAGAATACAAATTACTGATTTAAAAGGTCATAATGTGAAAATTTTATCATTAAATATTTATTATACATGTTTTTAATGAAAATGTTTATATAATTCATTTAATATTTTTTTTTGTAGATAAATATCATTTCTTTATTTGATTTGTATATAGCAAAATATATATTGTAAAAGAAACAACATCTCTCATATGTTGATACAATGAATTAAATGCTAGCTTGCCTACAGTAACCATGCAACTAATATTGAAAGAAATTTAAAACAATATATCTTGTCAGATAGCATCAAGCAGCTATAAATAGGTACTACTCAATATTAAGAGAATTAAAATTACAATTAAGAGATAAGAATATTAGACTATAGATATATTTAGAATAGTTATATTCAGATTAAATAAATGTATTGATAACAATAAAAAGCAGATCAATGATAATATTCTTTTGTAAGTTAGTATTGAATACATCTTTAACTTGTAAGATATTCTTGTTTTTTTGGTTTAAAAGAATTAAATAAATGTAAAAATTGGTATTATTCCACTTAATTTCAATGAGAGATGAAGTATTAGTTATAGAACAGTATAGTTTCTAGATCAGGTCATATGGTTGAATTAAAAATTCTATTTTTGTTTTGATCCAGTTGACAGAGGTTGAAGTAGAAAAAATTATATTTGTTATTTTATATGACAATTCAACAACTTGCTATATACAGTATGTGAGATAGGTTTGTAATTGTTATTTAAATAAAAAACTTGATATTAAACAGATGATATCTTATATTGACTGGAATAAAGTTGATAAAATATGTGTTAAGTAGAAAGAGTTTCTGAAAGCAGTTTGATTATGAATATAATCCAAATTCTGTATTTGTTATTGTGAAGTTTGTTGATTTTTTTATTGGATTGATTAATAACTTTTAAGCTATATGAAATATGTATTTGTCTAAAAGTTCAGACAATAGCAAAGCTTTCACAAATCATATAATTTCTAATGAAGTTAAAAATTTTCTTGCACTATCTAACATTGCTACTTAGGCAAATGTTGTTAATTAGAGATTGTTCTATTAAATAGTTTTAATTGATGCTAGTTTGAACTCGGATTTGATATATATAATCTCTATAGACTTTTGTTATATATATTGATTTATACTTTGAATTAAAGAGAAAAAATTGATTTTAATTATTCTTTTTGAATATTAGATACTAATTAAATAATTTTTTTGTTGCTTTTAATTTTGATAATAGAATAGTATAAAATCCATCAAACAATATTAAGGACCATTAGTAGAATACTACTTGGTGAAAAATAGAAATTGAGTAGTTTTACTTTAATACTATTTATAAATAGATTGTTTTATAATATAAAATATAATATTATTATTACAATTCAGTATTTTATAATAGTATTTGAGAAAAAACATTAGCAG